AATGTTTGATGTTTCGCTTGTCACTGCGAAACAAATTTACTATTGGTGATCAACATCTTGCCAGCGCTTTTATAAATTAGATGAAGATCATGTAATTTCTGCGCATCACTTTTTGAAAGGACCTCATACTGTTGCCAGTGAGCTTTGTTTCGATTGGAGTACTGACTTGATTATAGTGATTGGATTCACAACCCCTTTATTAGCTGGGATATTACCATTGTCGAGTGTACATTGTGACGCAACTTACAAAATGGCCAAAGGATGCTTTGAACTCTACGGGATTATCAGTAACGTTGAGGGTGCAGGATTTCCAGTAGCATATCTCATTTTGAACACTATGAAGGTGCCAAACAATGAAGAACAAATGGAGTTACGAACAACGGCACTTGCTGGCTTCCTTCGTTCTCTCTGTAACAAGGGATTGCAACTACAATACTTTTACACTGATAAAGACTTCGCAGAAATTAATGCTGCGAAAGAAGTGTGGTCCAATGCTAATATACAGCTTTGTCTGTGACATATTGAGAAGGCTATTAAGAAAAAGCTTAAGAGTCGCAAGCAAATTCATCGCAATCAATACCAATCAGATGAAGTTGTAACAGAGTTTGATTTTATTGATCCCACTTTCAAGCCTGATCTAGAACGTATTGAGCCCGAGTACTACATAATATGCTCACTGAATTTGTGAGATAAAATTATCAATCTCATCAGAAAGCATTTTAATATGCACTCAAAAATCCCTATCAATGCTGCTGAATGGTTCCTAACAGCTGACGAAATCCGAAAGAGTGTAGTCCACGAAATATATGATTTTTGTGCTGAAAATGACCTTGTTTTGCTCTGGGTATACTTGTGGTCTGCTTGGTACAAGATGCCAAAGTGGATACTCTGGGCTCGATCAACACGAATGATGATTCCGCTTGGCAAAACGAACATGCCTATTGAAGCGCATTGGAGGGTCGTTAAACATTGTTATCTTTCCAGATTCAACTGGCCACAATTGGATTATCTCATATAGATCATTTGTACGCGTATCCTTCCTGACCAGATCACTCGTCTCAATCAAATGCACTTAAGACGAATGGCACCTTCTTGGTTCGATGAGTTCAAGAGTGATTGGAAGCAGCTCATTGCAAAACTGATCACTAATAGATATGAGAAACATTACTTTATTGACTTGGATCATTGGATATGTAGCTGCCTGTCATTTCTTTGTAGTCATTTCCTCATTTGCAAGCACT